CCCCAGTGCCAGGAGCCGCCAGCGGCTGAGGCCATGTCTGCTCCAGACTAGCCAACCCAGGAAAGAAATGGAAAAACTCACTCCATCACTGAGCTGCCAGGGCCTGACGCTGCCAGGCCGTTGGTCCAGCCAGCGTCCACACTCCCAAGCCGGCTGAGCTCAAGTCTATGCTGATTCCCCAGGGCAGACCAACTGTGGGCGATCCTGGGGCCCTGGGGAGCCTCACGACCCTTCCCACATGCCTCGAAGTGCTGCCACAGGTGCCAAGGTGGGCACTCTCAAATAACTCACCGGAGCTCTCCTGGAGGGTGAGTTTCATTACCCAGAAGGAGACACAGTAAGGCAGGAAAGAGCCTGCACTTATTGAGCACTTACAGAATGCAGGCAAGACAGACTCTCTTGGCTCATGTCCCCGGGACCTGGAGACTCCTAACTCAGGACTTGGACACTTGTCCTTCCATATCCATCTCCTCAAAGGTCCTGGACAGCAGGGTCAATGGTTTATGCATTCTGTCACCCTAGAGCCTAACACAGGGTGCAGCCCAGAGTAGGGGCTCTGGAGGGTGCTGGCTAAATGAATGAGTGATGTTGGCCTCACATCTTCTGCATGAGGGAGCGAGGGACCTGGGGGAACTGGCGGGGAGGAGGAGGAGGAGGTGTAATGGCTGCATGAAGCAGAGCAGGCAGAACCTCCACCCCACCCCCAAGTGTCTGGGAGTTGGGTGTGTGCCTTTTCCCTGAGGCTCTGGGACATGCTGGCACTCACATCTCTTCTCCCAGTAAGAGCCAGACAGGACAGAGGTGCTGGCAGAGGGGATGTCTGGGGTGGGGGATGGGGTCCAGGCATCTCCTTCAAAGGCTGGATTCTGGGTCAAGGATTTGGAGGCAGAAGGGCCTTGCCATCCCTCCCTCCCCGTCACGATCCTGGGTGTAGCAAGGGCTCCCATATACCTTGAACCCCAATGTCTGTCCCCGAGGGAAGAGGCTGCCCAGCAGAGGGGAAGCCAGACACCAGCAGTTCAGGTTGGGCCCATACAGTGGGGTAACTGGAGTGGGGCCAAGACACCTGCCCCTGGCTGGGCTGCCTGGAATCGCCCTCACAGGGCAGCCAGGCCCACGGAGCACTGATCAGCAGTCAGGAGGAGCCGGGTTCCAGAACCTTCGGCCTCAGACTTGCTGAGCGACTCTAGACAGGTAACAGTTCTGCCCCCTGGGCCTCAGCTCCTTCGGCTGTCAAGGCAGAGGGTCGAACGATTAGACCACAGGGAGAGACATGTGGTCTTTGTCAAACAATGAACTGTTATTAGTTACCTGGGAGAGCAACACTGTCCTCAGTCCTATCCCATTCAGCAGGGGCCAGGGGCTCCGGCAGTGAGCTGAGCTGCGCTGGGGCAGGGGCAGGGGGAGGAAGGCTGGCCTGCAGAAACGGGGATGGGGCTCTGGCTGACATGCTGCTTGCGGACCTGAAGTGGGCTGCTCAGAGGGGGAGCTGGCACCCAGGGTCTCCTCTTTGCTCACATTCCCCCTGCTTAGTCTTTCTGAAAGGCAGCAGGCATTTCTGCTGCTCAGAGTACTTTATTCCTGGACAGCAGACCTGCTAAACTGGCCTCATGAACTTGGAAAGCACTGAGCTCACCAGCATGTACCCCAGCAAGGCACACCTGGGAGCAAGGGCACCCAGTCATTTCACATCACCACCTTTCTTACCTAGAAGCCCCATCTCTCTCCTCACATTATAGACAAAAGCCAGTAAATCACGCCAAAGGACCTCTGAGCAGGAAAAAGGAGGTTGGAAAGCCCTACATTATAGCCTGCAGGCCTTTCTCACAGCCCACTGGCTGGTGCTTTGCGCACAGTGCTAACGCATTTGTTCCGGTTTCCCAGCTGATGGCAGTTTAGAGACAGATATTTAAAACTGGAGAAACACTGCGAGTCTGGCGTATGACTGAAATGGAATAGAGATAGAAACATTATAAAAAGCAGGCATAAGAACTCAAAATAAAATCATCTGGAATAAAATCCTCTTGTTACTAGGAAAGCAGCCACCCTTCCCTCACCCCTGACGGGCCCTATAGAAGGAGGCTGGACTGAAACCGAGAGGAGGCGGAGCCTTTATCTCCTGTGGACGGTCACCGCCTGGGAAGCTGATTCTGGTCCCTCCCGCTACTGTCTCTCTCTCCCACTCTCTCTCTTTCTTCCTCTCTCCTCCTCCTCATTACATAAAGCAACTTGGGTAGCTTATTAAAACACAATAAAACCGAGTTGAAAACATCACAACCAGGAACAATGCCATCAGGCTAGAAGGTCACAATCTGCGTGGCTCTCTATCTCTAGGACTGATTAGGGCGGGAGACCCTCCAGGCCCCCCCTTCCCCAGGGTTTATATGCAGCTGCACCAGCTGCACCCCACAATGAAGGAGAGGAGGGATGCCTACGAGAAGCAGGGTGGTAAATGGAAAACAGAGGCCTGCCTCCTCTTGGAAAGTGCAACTGACCATCTAGCAACTTGCTTCTCTGACTGCCGCTCCTCCACTTTCCAGGCTCTCTGGGCTAACAGGATGGCCTCTTGCAACCCACACCTAACCCTGGCCCCGGGACTCTGCCCTCCGGGGGCCTGCCACAGAGGTTCCGTGCGAGGTGCAGGAAGCCAGGCTCCCTCAAAAGGGATGACCTCGTGCCTGCAGGAGGAGCAGTGAGGGCTGTGGTCAGGGATTCCACCTCCCAGATGTCCTTTAGGGTTCTTCTTCATATCTGTCTCCTAACCAGACCACCAGGAGAACAGAGAGCCCCTAATCTTCATGAGAGCTGGCTTCCTTGCTGAAGCTGAAAATGACCCAAAGCCCAGCAGGAGGGACCCTAGACATCATCAAAAGCAATTCCTGCATTTCATGGATGGGAAAACGGAGGCCTAGAGATGGAACTGACTGGCCCAAGGTCCCACAGCCTGTCAGTGGCTGACTTAGGACCACAGGCCAGGCCTCCAGGCTCCCAGAGCACTGCGGTTTTTTCTAGGACCCCCAGAGGCGCCTCTACCAGCAAGCTTTCCAGCAGTCCCACTGTACCCAGACCCGTCTCCTGCATCCTTCTGCTCCGCCAGCCCTACCCACAGGAGCACTGCTAGTCTACGAAAGGCTGGTGGGGGAGAGAAGATAGGGTTAAGGTGGGGATTTTATTTAATCCCCTGAGCTGGCTTAAACTGATGCCACATTGGTTAGAGCAGGTGGGGAATGGTGGGGTGTGTGTGCATGGGGGTGGGGGGCGTGGCATTAGTGAATAATCACTAGATATCAAGAGGCCAGGCCTGCTAATGGGTTTTAACAAACAAGTACCCACCTTCATGGACTCCCTACCTCAGGTGCCAGACCTCCAAGTAGTGACCGTCTACCATGGAAATAACACAATCTCCAGGGTGCTCAGCAATGGAAAGGTCGCAGGCCATAGATTATGACAGACCTCAGGGCAAACCCTAGCTCTGCTGCTTCCTCACTGTATGACCTTAGGCAAAGCATTACATCGCTCTGAGCCTGTTCCTCTGTAAAGGGTGCTAAACACGCCTTCCTTGTGGGCCTCCTGGGTAGGCAGGAAGCCTGAACTCATGTGCATAAAGAGACACAGGGGAGGCACTGAGTCAAACCTCAGTGCTATTGTTACAAATTTCACACCCTGTACCTCTCATCCAGGCCCATCCATTACTCTTCTTCCCTAGCCGACTTGTGTCTGGATGTCAATAACCTTAATAATAATAATCCTTCCCAGCTGAAGAGCATTTGTAGCATTTTAAAACACAAAGCATCCTACCCCCATGGGTCACAACAGCCCCGCCAGGAGGAGCCAGAGGTAAGGTAGCCCCGCAGCCCCCAAGTTTATCTTCCCACAATGAGCCCAAAGGCCCTGAATGAATATGCTGTCTTGTACCAGATTCAAGGAGGCACCGGTAGCCTCTGGACCATAAGAAGGAGCCAGAGCCATCCCTCTCATTGCTTCACAGCTGGCCACAAGCAAACTGCCCTTCCCCCTTTGGCCCCCAACTCCCCAATTCTGAGAGTCAGGTGGACAGCTAGTGGACTCTGGCCTTTGGTGCATGGGTGGCCAAAACCAAGGCCAAGACCAGGCTGTGAGCTTCCTTACAGCTACAGAGCTCTCTCAAAAGTATGTTCACACCTTTGATCTTATTGGTTCTTCAACTGCCCAGCTCCGCCTCCAGGATCCAAGTATCATTCCCACATTCCACAAGAGGAAACTGAGGCCCACAGCAGAAGGGCCCAGTCAAGATCACCCAGGAGTTAGGGTAGAGCTGGGAAGTGAACTCAGGTCTCTCTAGTCTCCTAATCCGGGACACCTTCCACTACCCTGTCTGGTTTGCTCTTAACTCCCCCCTCGCAACAGAGAAGTCCCAAAGTGCTCCAATAAACCTGGACCCCTGTGGTGAGATCTAAGAATGTTCCCGCATCTTCAAGTTGGTCCCCTCAGAACCTTTGCTATCCCCACTAGCAACTCCCGGACTAGAGAGCCCCTGTTCCAGTGAGTGGCGTTGGCAGAGGGCCAGAGTCCCTGGGATTGGCTGCAGAGGCCAGCAGGTGTGGTGGGCTTTCCCCTCCGGTGGCCTCCTCCCGGCGACAAGCCCATTCCCACACCGCTGCCCAGCACCAGTCTCTGCTAGCAACTCCCCCCGAGGCGCGCTCCAATGGGGGACACCAAGGAGCTGCCCAACGCTGCTCTCCAGGGGTTAAAAATGCAGCATCCTAAACAAGGGTTAAAAATGCAGTCCTGGGGTTGGGCCGGTGCGGAGGGATGTAGTCCAAACCACAGCGGCTGCCAAAGCGGCATCCTCCCCCATCCTTCAGCGGTCCTCGGGGGCCGGAGCCACTCGAGCGACTGGGGGAGCTAAGGAGGCGCACGCCGCACCTTCCCCGCACCAGTGCCCCCTCCCACACCCCACCACTGCGCCCCTCGCTTCGGAGGCGGAGGGCTGCGGGCGCCAGAAGGTCCGCGGCGCTTACCTTTGTGACAGTCATGCAGGAACTCCCGGGCGCTGCGGGGGCGCGGGCACGGCGTGCGGGGGCGGCGGCAGGGTCCGATGGGGGCCCGGGCGGCGGCGGCGGGAAGGGGTCCCGCGCGTCTCCTTGCGCTGGCTGCCCGGGAGGCTCTGGGCGCGTTCCCCGCGCCCCGCGGGAGGCTCAGCCGAGCCGGGGGGGTTGGGGTGGGGGGGGGCCCGCGCTCTGGACGGGCAGAGCGCAGGGACCGCTCGTCGGCGCTCGCTCGCCGCTCTCCGCTGATGTCAGCCCCGAATGTGCATTTATAATAGATGAGCCTCTTTCGCCGCAGGAAGGCGAGGCAGGAAGAAAGGGAGCGAGGGAGCGGGCCTGGGCTGGGGGGCGGGGGGAGGAAGAGGGGCCGGGAACTCGCTACAAAGGAGGAGGCGGAGGGAGGAGGAGGAGGAAGCGCCGGCCCGCCCGCTGCCGTGTCCCGCGCCTCCGGGCCGGATCGCTGGCCGCTGGGCACCGCCGCTCCGGGGGCCCGGGCCGGGCGTCCAGGCCGGCGGCCTTAACCTCTTCAGGCCCGCGGCCGCCAGGCGGCTGGGCGACCGGGGTCCTGGCACCTGCCAGCTGGGCAGTGGGCGGCGACCGGCTTCTCAGTGCCCCACTGGCCGGGGGACGCTAGTGAAATCACGCGCTAGGCAGCCGAGGCGCCGCGTGGGCCGAGAAGACCGCCGGGCTGGACCCCTGGAGGTTCGCAAAGCCCGCCCGCGGGCCTCGAGTGCGGCGGGAGAGGGGCGTGGCTGCCTCCCGCCGCCCGAGCGGCTCGGCCCGCAGCCCCTGCCCCCGCGAACTCCAGGCGCAGGGTCGCAGAATGCGGTTGCTTGAGCAATCGTTTGGATCTGATTCTTTAAGCGATTAGCTGGCCCGGAGGGATCGTAGGAAATTTTACGCAAGAAGAAACAGACTGCTAGAGTGGAAAGTGACTTAGACAAGGACACGCGGCCGGACTGCCCCGGACGCCCGCAGATTTTCGCGGCGCGCAAACTCTCCACCGTACCCCTGGTGATAAAAGGTGCATTCTAGAGACAGGACGGGCCGTGCCGCAGGTGCACCTGCACCGCCCTTGGTGCAGCGCTAATCAGGGAAACACAGGTGTGCCCTGCGTGGTGAACTAATCCTGACCTGGGCCACACCATATCCTGGAGCTGCTGCAGGGACTTGGGACAGTCACCTCACGGTGACCCCGTCACCCTTTAGTAGGGAGGCCCCGTCCTGATTACCTGAGCAGGACCGGTTTCTGCCAATACTGAACCGCTTAGACTGAGCAGGGAGGGGTTAGCCCAGATGGAGGGCACGGGGCTCTTTGATGCCTCACCACCTCCCTGCAAGCCCGGAGGTGCTGGCTTCCTGCTACACGGAGGTTTTTACAGCGCAGTTAAGTGTATCCCGTCGTCATGCATGACGTGGTGGATGAACACTTGTGTGTGCAAGGTGCCAGGGAACAGAGACATGATGATGCCCGCCTTCAAGAAGGACACTTTCTATGTACTACAGCAATAACAGCATCTGTCGAGTGCTTTGTGGGTCATTGCACTATTTTTATTTGCATTTCCTGTTGGAATCCTAAATGCAGCAGTATGAGGAAGGAATGACCATCCTTGTTTTGAGGATGAGTGAACAAGAGGGGCGGGGACCTGCCCAAGATCACACGGTTGGGACGTGAACAGAAAGCTTTTGTGCTTTGGATCTGAGCGTTCCAAGGCAGCGCGGACCAGCTGCCTCGTTTGAGCCTCCCACCTGTCCTGGGAGCTAGATGGGTGGCTGCTGGTCCTGGTTTCCTGTATGAGGTTCTGAGCGACTTTAAATCTCTTGGGGAGCATATGTTGCCACAGGCATCAGGCATCTCATTTGTGCAGACTCTTCCTAGGTGTGTTCCCATGCCAGACCTCATGCCTTCCACCACCTCGTTCACCTGCCCAGAATGCCCTCCTCATCCTTCTGCACTAATCCAAACACTCCACCGCTCACCATCCCATCTCCTTGTCCTGTTCCTGTCCACTCCAGCCCCATGGCTCCACCTGTTGCATTTGGGTGAGAGTGTCTAGGTTTCTTTTCACGAGCTTCCTGTTGGTGTAGACCGTGAGCTGGGAAGCATCCTGAGCACAAGGGCATATCTCCTCCTACCGTGTACCCCTGGGCACTCAGTAGGTGCTCAGCAAATATCAACGACCACAAAAAACAAATCAATCCAAACAAACCTCCGACCTGCAGCAGAAGAAATTTAGATTGGACCCTCGAAAGCATTTTGTCCAGCCTCAAAACTGGTCACAGCTCCAGTCTGGACTGTCTTGGGTAGGTCAGCCTCAAGACAGGAGGATGTCCTTAAGGGTCCTTCCAGGACACTCCAGCCCTTGGAAGCCATTAAAGGGCAACTCAAGGATACTAATTCCCCTCCCCCCCCCGAGCTGTGACTTGTCCACTTTTATCTCTCTGGAGATTTAAAATCCCAGATTGTCATCCCCAGCTACCCAGCATGTCTTCTGGCGCCTTCCCCATCCACTGCCAGCGTTGCAGCTCTGGGAAATGAGACAAATACTTAATATGCTTGAGCCAAATGTAATTAGGAACATCAATCTGTTGCCCACAACCTACATGACATGCTCCAAAGGCAGAAAGAAAACGTTTCTGATCTCTTCCATGTTGCTGGCTCACCCCTCCTATCATATCTCCCCAGTCAGAATGGAGGTCTGGAAGAGGAAGGGCCCTCTCAAAGAATGCTGTATCCCCTTGTTGAGTTCAGGGCTTGGTCCGCAGAAGATCCTCAGAAATGTGTGCGTTTTCTGTGGTGCGGTGTGCATGCCACAACACCTCCCACTCTGGGTCTCCAGCAACATAGCCCATCTTAGTTTGGACTCTCCCCAAAGCAGAGCCTGAGAAAGGGGTTGGAAGCAGTGGTTTGATTGGAGGGTGTCCCAGGAAGCAGGAGTAGAAGAGTGGGTGGGAGGTGGGTAGTGAGACTGGGAAGGAGGAAGAGCCAATATAAAGACTGGCTTCAAGGTCGCTGCTGGAGGAAAGGGCCCAGTTCCTCAGAGACCTCTGGGGTGTGTCCAGGATTGGCTGTGGGAGTCAGTCACCGGCACTCACCCACGGCTTCTCTTCCCCACTGTTTGAGAGCTGTCCCTGAGGGTTTTACTTCATCCTGGAGAATGCCCTTGGACAGAAAGTGCAAAGACCTCCCCCCACCCCCCGCCACCCAATGCCCAGCTTACATGAGGCAGGATGCTGTCAGCTCAAGTCTGAGTGTTCTCCAAGCATGCACTGAGCTGTGGGTGAAACCAGAGGGAGGCTGAGGAAATGTGTTAATAAACTGTGGAGTAAACAAGAGTGGGCAGTAGTAGCTCTGGTCTCCTTTGGACACTCCCATGGCTCCATGCTTTACCCAGGCCCTCTCCTCAGCCTCCAGTGCCTTCAGCTCTCTTTCTCTGTGTAGCAAACGCCCAGTCGTCTCTCAAAGCCCAGCTCAGTGGCAACTCCTCTACGCAGCTCTCCTGATACCACCCCCACGGTGGCCTGACTCATCCTGTATTATCATTATCAAAATTAAATATATTTGTCCTGTAGTTTCTGATGGGCCATGACCAGGTGTTCTCTCTCGCTCTCTCTCTCCCTCCTCCCCTCCCTCTCCCTCATTGCAAGGAGTAGCTGACACATAGGGGATACTAGATAGCTGCCCAATCCAATAAGGCTGCCACGGGCACCTTTAGTTTCTGTCTTAATAACCCATTGGCTCAAGTCTCAGACCCCCCAGGGAGGCCTCAGGCATCATGACCTCAGGTCCTGCCCTGCCCCTGCGTTCACTCACCCAGGCCCCATAACACTTGGTGCCATTGCACAGAGTGGAGAGGGCTCCGTCCTTGCCTGCAAAACATGTTTGGTCTCCTAGGAAAGACCCACAGTCATGGGCACGCATTTAGACCACAGCAGGTGCTGCCCTTCTGCAGGGGTCAGAGGAAGATTCCCAAGGCTGTGGAGATCCTGCAGTCCTAGATGGTGCCTCCTTCCTGCAACCCTGGGGACACACGTCTACATTCCACCTGCTCTCAGGTGTTCAGCCTTTAGGCCCTGCAGATCTCACTGCCCCTCAAATCCATCCCCTCCTCTCCGTCTCTGCTATTGCTGCCCTAGTGCAGCATTTGATTTTGCTTGCAATCACACACACACAGACCTGCGTCTTTGAAACCCGTCAGGGGCTCCTGCTGTCTTCAGGATGAGACCCCAACAGGGTCTTCAGAGTTCTGTCCCTCCCTTGCCTCTCCACACTCCTTGTCTCATCACACTCTTGCCTCTGTCTCCCTCCCAGCACCTACCAGAGTCTTCCTCATTCTTTCTTCAGATGTCACCCCATCCAGGAAGCCTTCCTGGACCATGACCAGGAAGCGCAATGACCTCTGCACTCTTGTAATTTCTGTAATTCCCTGAGCTTCCTTCTCTCTGCACTTGGGCATTGTTTTACAACCTCCCGTTTGTGTGTTTGACTTCCTGCAGAGGATGAGCTGCTTGAAGACAGGGACTGGCTCTTTAGCTTGGTCATTCCAGCGCATGGGCCGTGCTCAGTCCCCTTCCCTCCATATAATCTCCTGGTTGCCCTTTCTCCCTTTCTGTCTCTTCTTTTTTATTGTCTTCTCATCCCCTCTCCCCCTCTACATGTCTCCACCCCCAGGTTCTCCCCACCTGTTTCTCCGTTGTATCTGCCTTTCCATGCTTCAAATCTCCATGTCTGTCTTGGAGACGGACATGCCCCACAGATGCCCCTGATGCCACCATTCCCAGTCTGCCCTCTTCCTTCGCCCAGACCCCTCCACTGCTCTTCATGCCCTGGCATGGGCTCTCCTCTCTCCTTCCCTCTTCTTGACTTTCGTGGTTCTCTCTTCCTCTTGTCTCTCCCCAGCTCCGTTCTCCCACCACATCTGCTTCTTTCCACCCCCTGTTCTTCTCATCTCTCTGTGTGTTTGTGTCCATCTCCCCGTCTCTGTGGATGTGTCTCTCTCTGTCTCTCTCCTCTGTCTCTCCTTGTCTTTCTTTGTCTTTCTCCTTGGCCTCTATACAGCACACACAATGCTGACTTTGGCACGGGGGTGTGCCAGGGCAGGTGGGGCCCAGCCCTGGGGGTATCAACTTCCACCGCATATCTGAGGGGTGATGACTCCCCCCATCTGATGGCTCACCCGAGCCACCCGAAAGCACGTACTTTTGGGGCCTCTGAAGGCTGCGTCCTTGACTGTGAATGCCCTCACCTGAGCACCAGGACCTTTGTCCTTTACCCACTCTGTGAGCTTGCGTGAGCCTGTATGGGATTGCGTGTATCCATAGTTGTAT